AACCCTGAAGACTCCACCAAAAAACTATTAGAACAAATGAATTTCAGTTAAGTTGCTGGATACTAAATTAACACACAAAAATCAGCTGTGCTTTTTACACACTAATAACAAGTAATCAGAAAGAAACTTAGAAAACAATCCCATTTACAACTGCATCAAAAAGAATAAAATATCTACGAATAAAACCAAGGAAGCTAAAGACCTGTAGTCTGAAAACTATGAGACACTGATGAAAGAAACTGAAAATGACACAAATAAATAAAAACATATACTGGGCTCATAGATTGGAAGAATTATATTGTTAAAATGTCCTTACTACCCAAAGCAATCTTAGAGATTCAATGCAATCCCCATCATAATATCAAATGCATTTCTCACAGAACTAGAACAAAGAATCCTAAAATGTGTATGGAAGGGGAGGGGCACCTGGGTGGTTCAGTCGTTAAGCGTCTGTCTTCAGCTCAAAAGACCCCGAACAGCCGAGGCAATCTTGAGAATGAAGAACAAAGCCGGAGGTATGTTCCCTGATTTCAAACTATACCACAAAGCTACAGTAACCCAAACAGTATGGTACTGGCACAAAAACAAATACATAAATCAACGGAAGAGAGAGCCCAGAAACAAACCCACACATATATGGTCAATCTAGGACAAACGAGGCAAGAATAGACAATGGGTAAAGGACAGTCCCTTCAAAAAATTGTGCTGGGAAAACTGGATAGCTACATGCGAAACAAAACTGGACTACTATCTTATACCATATACAAAAATGAACTCAAGATAGATTAAAGACAAACTTAAGACCTGAAACCATAAAACTCCTAGAAGAAAACCTAGGCAGTAAGCTCTTTGACATCAGTCTTAGCAATATTTTTTGGACCAGTTTCCTATTCAAGGGCAACAAAAGCTAACACAAATAAATGGGATTACATCAAACTAAAAAGCTTTTTGCACAGAGAAGGAAACCAACAAAATGAAAAGGCAATCTAATGGAGGAAGATATTTGCAGCAAATCATATATCTGATTAACGCGTTGATATCTAAAACATATAAAAAACTTACACAGCTTAATATCAAAACAACAAATAACCTGATTAAAAAGCAGGCAAAACTTGAATAGACATTTTTCCAAAGACATACAGATGGCCAACAAACACATGAAAAGATGCTCAACGTCAATAATCATCAGGGCAATGCAAATCGAAATCACAATGAAATGTGATGGCTAGTATCAAAAAGAAAAAAATAACAAGTGTTGGCAAGGATGTAGAAAAAGAGAACTCTTGAACACTGATGGTCAGAATGTAAATTGGTGCAGCCACTATGAAAAACAGTATGGAGGTCCCTCAAAAAATTAAAAATAGAACTACCATATAATCCTGCAATTACACTTCTGGGTACTTACACAAAAAACCCCAATCTAAAGAGATATGTGTACCCTTATGTTCACTGCACCATTATTTATAATAGCTAAGATATGGAAGCCACCTAAGTGTCAAGATGATCACAGAAAGGCTAGCTTAGAATCCAAGATGTATCTGATCAATTAATATACAACAAGTATTGCTTTTTTGTTTTTTTCTGTGCCTCTGCTCTTATAGTTCATATGACTGAAACACCTGGGGAGGGGCACCTGGGTGGTTCAGTCGTTAAGCGTCTGCCTTCAGCTCAGGTTATGATCCCAGGGTCCTGGGATCGAGCCCCACATCGGGCTCCCTACTCTGCGGGAAGCCTACTTCTCACTCTCTCACTCCCCCTGCTTGTGTTCCCTCTCTCACTGTCTCTCTCTGTCAAATAAAATCTTTAAAAAAAAAAAAAAAAAGAAAGAAACACCTGGGGAACAAGAAGTCAGAACTAATGTTCACTTTTTTTAATATATATTTTTTAATATTTTATTTTTTTGACAGAGAGAGACACAGCGAGAGAGGCAACACAAGCAGGGGGAGTAAGAAAGGGAGAAGCAGGCTTCTCGCAGAACAGGGAGCCCGATGTGGGACTCGATCCCAGGACCCTGGGATCATGATGTGAGCCAAAGGCAGACGCTTAATGACTGAGCCACCCAGGTGCCCCTAATGTTCACTTCTACCTGGCCCTCACACAGCAGGGTTTGGGGAAAAAAGCAAAAAGGTTAGCTCTGTGAACAAAGATAATACAGACTGCTCTTCACTGCTCAAGAGAACACCCAGGCCACCTGTGGCGTTCTGACCTTTGTAACACTAACTATAACCAGTTGTTTTTTTCCCAAACACATTTCCATAAAAATCAGTTTTTAAAATATCAGAAAGATAATGCAGTGCTCTGCCTACTTGATTTTCTTTGTCCATTTTCCTTTGGACTGTACAGGACTAACGTTTGAGAAGTTCACAATAATCTGATTCACCAGAGCATGAAGTCATACCACAGACCAATGAGCTATTTGTAAATGGATTTGTCCTCATAATTTAAACCATGAATTTGGTGCAACTACATGATAAAAGGCAATTACTGACTATGCCAGGAACTACAGAATATTTTTAATTTAATCAAGTATTTGTAAGTATGTGACATCAAGTACCAACCCTTTCCTATTTAGGAGTAGTCATTATTAATAATGTGTACAAGAAAAAGACCTGAAGTCTCAGTAGGCCAAAAGTTTAATGAGTCATTGCTGTAATAAGACTATCCAAAAATCTGATTTTGATCCCAGCTGTATTAACAGAAATGCATGGTCTAGAATACACTACCCTGGTCACACCCAACTTGTGCAGAGCTCTGGGCATTACCGCTTTTTTTGTTTTTTTTTTTTGTTTTATTAAAGATTTTATTTATTTATTTGACAGAGAGAGACAGCGAGAGCAGAACACAAGCAGGGGGAGGGGGAGAGGGAGAGCAGGCTTCCCGCCAAGCAGGGAGCCTAATATGGGACTGGATCCCAGGACCCTGGGATCATGACCTGAGCCGAAGGCAGGCAGACACTTAACGACTGAGCCACTCAGGTGCCCCTGGGCATTACCGTTTAAGAATGGGCCCTGGCAGACATGTCAAAACCACATCACATAAAACAAGGATGAGAAAACCAGGACTCCTTTCAAAGAGTTTAAGAAAACATATAAATTTGATTAATAAGTGCTTGAATTATACTATAAATCCAACCGATACCAGTTAGGGAGGAGGTAAGTAGCAAATATCCTTTCTCTTTTGAAATAGGAGAAAACTAAAGTAAGGACTACCAGAATGAGTTAATGCTCAGGGCTGAAAACAAAAGAGAGTGAGGTGGAAATGTGTCAGTGTCCAGTTAAAGTGTATAGAGACCAAACCTGGTAATTCAAGTTTCAGACAGGTCTTTTAGTTTCACATTTATAGATTAGCTAGTTAACCACATTTTCATTTTTTCTTTCTTTTTTTTTGTTACACAGTCCTAATTTTAGAAATCCTCACTAAGGGATCACTTCTAAAACGAGCTTTAGTGCAATATATAATCAAATCATAAATAACTGTCTTTGGGTCCTTATTCAAAATAGGTAATTACTAAATAAAATATTAACAGAACACTTTCACATTCCTACAGCTTCCTGCTATTCACATCTCATTCTACATTCTAGACAGCTCTGGCAACGAAGACACCATAGAAAATATTACTTACAGTAAACTTTATTTTCATATTTCATTTGACATAATTTCAAAGTAGGTCTGTGCTCTAGGATAAGCCAAAGAAAAGAAATCCTAAAGTTCCTAAGAGACTTTTTTCACACTGTTCTGAGTAGGGCATGGGGTTTCAAGGCCCTCAATGTTGATACCTAACATTTTACCCCTTGAGACTTTACCCATAGATACAGAAAGAAGAGAGAACATCACGTACAAGAATCAAACTGTATGAGAATATATAAGAAGCTCATGGGTTACATACCACCCACCTCTTTAAGGCTGTAATGATAATGACTGATTTCTTCTGGAAAGTTCAATGTTATTTTTGTTCTGTTTTGTTAAGTAAAATGTCAGAATATGTGAAAATGCTGCACTTGTTTCTCTTAATACACTAAAAATAGTGGAAGTTTTTAAATTCTTCATGAGTCCAAGCGGGACATGACTACTATTGATGGGGTCTATTCAACACACTAATTCCAAGTTTGGCGACCATCAGCAAACTGTTCAAAAGAAACACATAAACAAAAAACATCAGGTAAAGGACAGAATAGGCACTCGACTATTTTTCAAAGAAACTAAAACTGCAGGTCCTTCACAACTACATGGTGAGGAGATGCCAAAGCAGAGCAGGCACAGGTGAACCCCCATCCCTGGAAGTACCAAAGGAATAACATGCCAAGGGGCAGTCTTGCACCCCAATTGCCTTAAAATAGTACATATGAATCGGGAGTTCCTAATCTAATAGCCAATAATTCAAAGAGATGAGCAAACTGAAGGCTGGGAAGAGCAAGGTCTCTCCAGGGTCACAGAGCTAGTTAATGGTACATTTCCAGCCTCCCAGTTCACTGCTCTTGACCTTGGTCTACGCTGACTATAAAGCATTATGCTTGACAGCATCATAACTATGATCAAAGTCTGGTAAGGGACCTTCTTCCAGATGTTTACAAATTCTGTCCTCGGAATACGTTTTTAAAATAATCTGGTTCGAGTTTCATAACCAAAGTTCATTGGACAGCAGGATTTAATCAAAATTCCCTTTTAGGAAAATGTTCAATAATAAAGGGTGCCCACACAACTCAGAAATATGGAACTCATGCTGAAAGTCACAGAAAGAGCTGCAGTCATGGCTTTGCATGAAGCTCCTTCCATTGTAGGCAGGAGAGGGGACGGACCAGACCGCAAATGTGAGAGCAAAATCATGAATGCACTTACTTCATTTTGCAGCCTTTCCTATTTGTGTGTAAATTACATCACTTCAGTTGATGTCCAGCACCAGGCATACCAGAACAAGTAAATTTTTGAATGTACAAAGTCGGCGGGGGGGGCATGAAACTAAACTCCATATTGGTGAAGAACAGCATGAGAAAAGAAAATACCTGGCACCAGCGATTAAGCCCGCAGGCATAAATTTTCCAGAGTGGTAGAATCTCATTCCCATAATGCCAGCTAACGTTCCAGATGTAGCTGATGAGAAAAAGAAAAAGAATCAAAGATCATTGCATCTTATATGCGGGAGAACCAAAGTCCCAGCCATCTTTCAAGAGCCAGACCCCATCTCCTATGATCATTTCCTTCCCCACGGCCACCCACGCTCTATGGGGCTAAGAACAAACACTGGAATGTAAGGCCCTCACAGTCTGGGCCAAACGGCCTTCCTGGCCTCACCTCCTACCACTCTTCAGCCATAGTTTTCTCCAAATTTGCCACAGGTCTTTTTTTCCTAGACCTGGCTGATGTATTTACGCCGTATGCTCTTCTCTTCAACATCTGTTACAATACCTATTATATGTCATGCACTGCACTAGGGGCTGGAGGACAAAACTATCATCAAAAAAGGTCTTTAAACAGGGGCGCCTGGGTGGCTCAGGTCATGATCCCGGAGTCCCAGGATCGAGCCCCCCCCATTAGGCTCCCTGCTCAGCGGGAGTCTGCTTCTCCCTCTGCCCCTCATCCCACTCGTGCTCTCTCTCTCAAATAAATAAAATCTTAAAAAAACAAAAACAAAAAAGGTCTTTAACAGCGGATGCAGCCTATTCAGGAAAATCAGAAAAGGATTTGCAGATTAAGTGTGAAGATCAAGCCAAGATCTAAAAAGTAGGAGTGAATGAGCTAAAGGGGTAAGAAAGCACATTCCAAGCGGAGGAAATAATACACGCAGGGCCTTGTGGTGAGAGGGAAATGAAGGCTAAAATATGGCTAGCGAGGAAGAGGGGCCAGACCACAGAGCCTTGACAGCAATACTAGGGACTGTGGTCTTCATCCTCAGAGCAATTAGAAGCCATTAAAAGATACCAAGCAGAGGGATCATGAGCAGAACTATAAAAACAAAATTCTAGCTGTTCTATGGAAAACAAACTACAGTGAAACTAGAGCACGTAGGGATACCAATTTAGAGACTTCCTCAGGAATGCAGGCAAAATACAGGGATAACTGGGATGAGGATGGTGGCCTCGGAGATAGAGGAGACAATCTAGGCTATGTGCTGGAGGTAGTGTCCATAGGACCTACTGGTGAAAATGATATAAAGATGGAGGGGAGGAGACCAAGACCCAGATGGATGGAGAACACCAGAAGACCAATGTTGTGAGGACAAGAGGTCAGGTTTGGGCAGATGCCTTGAGACAACTAATAAAAGATTTCAAGCACGCAACTGTATATAGAAGAGTGAAGCTTGGAGGAGAAATCCGTTTGTGAATCAGTGACCTATTTCAATGGTAATTTAAGGCCTGGGCTCCAATGAGCCAAGCAAGAGGATTAAAAAGAATATAAAAAGAGCCAGGTCTTGGGGCACCTGGGTGACTCAGTCAATTAAGCAGCCAACTCTTGATTTCAGCTCAGGTCATGATCTCAGGGTCCTGAGATTGAGCCCTACATCAAGCTCCATGCTCAGTGGGAAGTCTGCTTGGGATTCTCTCCCTCTCCTTTTGCCCCTCCACCTGCTCACCCGAGCTCTCTAATAAATAAGTCTTAAAAAAAAAAAAAAGCCAAGGAAGATGGGTCAACAAAAGAGAACAAGAAAATAAAAAAGAAAACAGGAGAGTGGAAAATGGATTGGTCCACTATGCTGAGAAAGCTAATAGGCCACTAGAATGAGGATTAAAAAATGTACACCGCAAGGGCGCCTGGGTGATTCAGTCAGTTAAGCATCCAACTCAATTTCGACTCAGGTCACAATCTCAGGGTCCTGGCACTGAGCCCCACATCAGGCTCCTCCGTGCTCAGTGGGGGTGTGCTTGAGATTCTCTCTCCCTCTGCCCCTCCCCCTGTGTGTGCGCATGCGCCCTCTCTCTCAAATAAAACAGATCTTAAAACACACACACACACACACACACACTGGATTCTGAAAAATCCAGGTCACTAGCACAATCGGGGAAAGCTATTTCCATGGACAAAGGAGACAAAAACAGAGACTGAAGCGGGTGGAGAATGCGGAAGGGGAGGAAATAAAAACAAGCAGTATAACAGATTGTTCTAGAGAAGTTTCTGAAGGGGAAGAAGGGCAGCAGCTGGAGAAGGAAGTGGGATCACAAGAGGTCCTTTTTTCTTTACTGGGTGAGAGAAGACACGTGAACATGAGCAGGAGGGATCTATCTGCACGGTGGAATCCAAGTTAAGAGATGGCATCTTTGGCAGAATAACACTCCAGAAGGTGGGGGACATAGAGACCCAAAGCCTGGATGGAGGGACCAGCGTGGAGAGGAGAGAAACAGCACAGCAGAAGGCATGGACGCTGACAGCATGGTGAAGCCCCCATGACTGTTGCTGTTCTTTAAGTAGGCACTGAGGTCATTTGCTGAGCGTGGAGGAGTGGAATCAGAAATGGGAAAAAAGAACTCTGAAAGTCTTTCAGGAACTTGAGTGAGGGAGCCGTGAGGCAGAGCTGAGAGCTGGGTCCCTCCTCCTTCCGCAGCACACCCTACATCAGCCATTGCTGCCCTCTCCCGCCCAGCCCGTGGCAACTCGTGCAAACCACTGTTATAAAGGCCAGAACTATAGGTTTTCCGACTCTGCGGGTTTGTGGAGACAGTGAGATGCCCATGCTCCTAGCGCAGGTTCTGATACATGGGTGGAGCTCAATAAATATGCACCCAAAGCCACCCTGATAAGTAGTAATCTTCCCTTCCTGGCGCTCCTCACTGTCCATGCAGCTCCCAGGACACTTCAGCAGCCCCGCAGACTCATGTTTCATGTCAGTCAAGGTAAAGGCTCCCTGAAGGCAAGGCCTATGCCATACATTTAGCTTAGTGCTAAAGGGCTAATAAATGATTTTCAAATGTGAAAAATGCAAACCTAAGCCTGACATGTGATCCTATGCTCAAGCATACGGTCTTCAGTGGGCAATCATAATGATTAAGAGACATATACTTGCCTTGCACAGGTTTATTATTAATTTCATTGGCTAAATCTAAATTCATGAGGCATGAAAACCTTTCCATATTCTGTACACAGAAAATAAACAGAAGCCAGCACAACTCCCCCCACCCCCAATTTTAAAACCTCCCTAGCACTTGGCAGAAGGAGTAAAACTGTCTTCATGTGAAGAACCTGCCACATTCCACCAATCCAGAGCCTCTTGGTAGAGCATTCGGGATACATAACTGTAGGAGGGAGACAGTGACGTTGACATACCTAGAAATACCCAGATGTTCCTCGGATCCTGAGACAGCTGATAAGCACCCAGGCCTGCTAAACTACCAAAAAGCAGCCCAGCAGCCAGTGATGGGACACTACCTGTAGGGAAGCAAACAGTTCTGCATTATAATGTCAGACACTCATTTTCTTAACAGAATTCACAAGATTTCCTTTTCTCAGAGAGGAAAACCGCAAAGAAAATTTCTCTCAACACAGCTCATAACCAAGGAGCTCTCAAGCAGGAAAATGTTTTGGGGAGGTTGCTATTTTACAGAGAAGGCACGGTAATACCACACTAATCCTCTCTTTTTTAATAGACAGATACTTCCATCTGGGGCGAAAAGAAGGGCTCCTAACCAGACCTGACTAACCTGTCAAGGGCTGGAACTGTATATAGGCAGGAATTCAGGCAAACCACCAAAGGAGAGGGAAATAAGGGCAGTGAGTTAAAAAAAAAAAAAAAAAAAAAAATGGAGAATAAGAATTCTGGTGTGTGTGTGTGTGTGTGTGTTGGGGTGGGGATGCAGGCTAGAAAGGAGGTAGAAACAGCACATTTACTGACAGATCTATGTCTAAAGAGGAGATTTCAAAAAATGAGCATGGAAAGAAAAGAGGTTTCTTCCTACTTAGAGAGCACAGAGATGACACTCTGGGGTCAAGACTAATGTGTGGTAGTCAGTGATAATAACAACCTACTACCACCCCTGCCCCACAGCTTTAGATAAAGAAGCCAAGAACAAGTGAGTAGACAAGAAGCCTGACTTTTAGGTCAACCAGGTAACAGAAAAGCAAGTGCAGGAGCAGCCACCGGACTGAAATAAGCCTGCACTCAAGCTAGAGGGCTTAAAGCAAACTTGACTCAAACGAGATTGTACTCTGGGGAACCTGGGGACTCACTCTTTACCAGCAACAATGTGAAAATCTTAGGAGGTTAAGTCGCTACAAACCATACCTGCTCTTGCATAGCCAATGATCCCACCAGAAGCAACCAGCGCTGCATAGCCAAAGCCAATCCAATGTAAAGGTACTCTGAAAATGAAACCGCAAGAAATCAGTGCCAACCACGGCTAAAAAAATTTAAAGAAACAATCACAGGATGGGACTAAAACATCATCATTCCAGAACAGTCTTATCACGGTACAAATGAACATAACTCCCAGAGGTTAGATGACTTGCCCTAGTCGGTGATGGAGTTGGGACTCAAACCCAGGTCCCTGGCCTACATGTCCATCCTTCCATACCCTGTGCTGCCCAGCAATCTACTCTTAGGGCCCTTTCCAGATAAGGAAAGAAGCTCTGGTTTTGAGAAGTTGCTGGCAATTCCTCTCCCATTCACTGTACTTACAGTGGGCCAGGGTCCCTCTGCATTGTTCTCTTTCACTCTGACCAGACAGAAGAGTACACCAGGCCTGCACCTGCGGAGGAGGGGCTGGATCAGAGACAATTAATTGCACGGCTCTCCAGCAGTCAGAAGGAAGTGGACCCAAGTTCTAACTCCACCTCTTAGTAGCTAAGAAGTAACAGGCAAGCTACCAACCTCTATTAGCCTAAGCTTCCTTCACTGTACCACGAGGGTAAGAATGGTACAAATTTCCTAGGGCTCCTGTGAGTATTAAAAGGGGTAATAAGTAAAAGTGCTTAGCACGTAGTAAATGCTAAACAGATACCAACCGTTTTGGTAATAACCTCCATTCTAGTAACACAGGCCTACAGGAAACTGAATGCAATTCACTGACGAGCTCTGTACAGGTAATGAGTTTACCTTTTCATCAGCAAACCAACTTATTACTAAATCGGAAACTAAGTATCCCCTGGGCCCTTAATTCAACTATTTTAATTGCCCCTTTGTACCCTTGCCCAAAGAGTTCAATTATTGCAATACTCAACATCTGCAAAACTTTTAGATGGCAATTACTTTTGCATCCAAATAGCTCGTTAGACTGAGGTCTGTGAGGGGGTAAAATACTGGAAAGCCTAAGTCATAATTAACGTGGGACACTTCGCTCTTGGCGAAGTAGGGTATAACTCCTACTTTCTTATAGATGGATCCAATTTAGTATCCAATTAGGTTTAAAGCTTGAAACAATTCATACCTGTTTGGGGCGGGGGGGGGGGGGGGGGCGGTGCTTGGAATTGTGCCTGTTATTAATTCCAAGTAGCACCGAGTTACTGGGACTTTCAAGGAGATGGAGCAATAAAATCCACAGGAAACTAATCACCACTACGCTACATCAGTAAGCATGTGTCTCAAAAGCACAGAGATTCTGCAAGATTCACAATCTATTTTAAGGAAAGCACAAAATGCGCGACTAGAAAGGCAACTACGACGCAGCCTAACGCGCAGCAAAGCCTCTTATGTAACCCCCAAAAGTCAAAAAGGTATAGAAAAATAATTCCCAAGTACCGAACCGCTTTGCCGTAGGTCTGCACCGCTCGACAAGGGCACGCAAGCCGTGAGGCGGGACGTCCGGGTCCCGCCGGAAACGTCGCCGCGCGCTCTGCGTCCCGAGGGCAAGGCGGAACGTGGTGCGGGGCGAGGCCGGGAGCCGGGCTTGAGGGGTGGAGCCGCGCCGCGCGCAGGCGTCTCGGAAACGGAAGACGCATGGGGCGGGGCTTGAGGAGAGGAGTCACGGCGCGCACAGGCGTCCCAGGGAAGGGAGACGCATGGGGCGGGGCTTGAGGGGAGGAGTAAGGACGCGCGCATGCGACCCGGGGAAGGGAGACGCATGGGGCGGGGCTTGAGGGGAGGAGTCGAGGCGCGCGCATTGGGTCGCGGAGACGGGGCGGGGCGGGGAGTCCCGCTACGCCCCCCTGGATCCCTCTGTAGCCGCCCCGAAAGGGCAGTTGACCTTCGAAGCTCGGCCTTCCAAAAGCTTGCCTAAAACCCAGAATTTGAGTCGGGTCCTGCAAGAGGCATTGAGAGGTGGTCCCGGCCTGAGGTGGGGACCACGGATACGAGAGAAGGGCTTCTGAGGATGGACTCCGAAAGACCCTATTTATGGAGGGACTTGTGGTTTACCTGGTGTAAATCGGAGGCATGCCAACCGGGAGGATTGTCACTCTAACCAGATCACGTTTTTTGCCTACAGTGGTAACAACTACTTTCTTCCTGCAGAGATGGTGACTGCAAGCCAGGGTGTTTAGGGTGTTTACTTGAGCAGTATCTTAAAGGAGGAGAGAGGGTAAGTTAAATATAATTTCCTGCTACCTCTGTATGCCCCAGTGTCCACAAAACATTATCTCCATTCCCTTTACAGATCTGCTTCTCTTCCTTGCGTTTCCTGCAGGACCACTCAATTGCTGTACACCAAAATTTGTGTGTTTATCCTTGAAGTCTTTCTCTTCTTAATCTCCTACAAGAATCAACACAGATAAATCTTATAAATACAGTCTTGAGTGAAAGAAGGAAATTGCAGCTCATACATAACTCCCAAACGAAAACTTTCCAGTTGCAGCAGCTCCTGCCTTTGAGATACCAAAACTGAAGCCTGTGTTTACCATAACTGATTCTAACCAGGGAAAGCAGGTAAGGACTAAGAAGAACTTGAGTAATTCCAGTATGCCAGACCCTCACTGAATTACTGCAAGATGCTGAACAACTAACAGTGGGACTTAACTTAAATCCAGCTCCGAATGGACTTAGGGATGTGTTCCTCCCTATTCAGGTGTAAACTTAAACCTTAGTTATAACCACCGTGATCTAACCCCTGTCCTTTAGACTTAAAGAAATTGAACCACAGAGAATTAAGTAAATTACCTATGATCCTAGTCCTTGCTGGAGCAGTTATTTGAAGTAAGGTCTATCTTTCAAAATCTATACCCTTAACTTCACATTATGTTGCCTCTGTGTCATTCCTCAACCAAAACACACAGCATTTCTGTGTGTGCAGTTCCAGTTACCGTAAAATAAATTGATCTCTGCCCTGTTTCAGTTACAGAGTAAACCAAGTCAATGATTTGTGTTCAGTAATGTTTCTAGTTGGCATTAACGTATTTTAGGAAATAGCTTAGCTCCAAACTAGGAGCCCACTGGATTAATTACTGGAACCCTGAACCACAAATGCATCAGTGGAGTGTGACCAAGATTGTGTAAGGGGCAAGATTTTAGTCTCTGGCTAATCAGTAGGTTGTTTTGTTTGTTTGGGTTCTTGTTTGTTTCACAGAGGCCTAGAGTCAGGATTATGTTTGGTAGACACAAATGTATACACTCTGATAACCATCTGCCACAACAGCTTGTGAAAAAGGAATAGTGCTTCAATTTCAGCATTATTCTATCATTTTTGGAACCTTATTATAACCTTATATATTTGGAACCTCAGACATAAATAGTGGGTGCAAAGAAATCATATGCTAACATAGGCAGTGTGTGACTTTACACACTAAGAAACCCCCAAACAAAAATGTCAAACAAATTCCTGGTTGCAGTATTTCACCTAATGTCTACTGAGTATCCACAGTATCAGTTTCTAGGTCTTTAGGATAGATTTTATAGCTTTGAAGAGCAACATCATCTATTCAATAAATCTTTCTCCAAGCTCCATTAATAAATTTCTTCAGCTCAATTAATAAATGAGATGAAAAAATACTGCCTGTGTTCTCAACCAACCCTATCTGCCACATCTTCTGGGACCTCATATGTTAGAGCCATAACAATAGCAGAAAAAACATGAAGTGTACTAATTATATGCCAAACACTGTATGAAGTGCTTTACATAGATGAACTCATTTAATCTTCATACTAACCCTAAGCACTAGAGACTATTATTATCTCTTGGTTTTACACAGAGAGGAATTAAGGGAGAAAGAGGTTAAGGATAAGGCCACACAGTTAATACACAACAGAGCTGCCCTTTAGTCTGTTCTCAATACAGTAACCAGAACACTTCTGTTAAAGTCAATGGTGTCATTCCTATGCTCAAAACTCTCCAGTGGCCCCCTTTCTCATGCAATGGCCTATAAAGTCCTACATTACATGCTTCATGAACCAGACTACACATCTACCTCCCAGCCTTCAGCTCACTTTCATCTCCGCTTTGCTCATGCTGCTTCAGCCTCCTTGTTTCCACCTCTGAGCACTTGCACCTGTTGCTTCATCTGCCCAGAATTTCCCAGATAATCTCCCAGGTCACTACCTCATCTCCTTTATGTCTTTATTCAAATGTCACTTTCTCAGTGAGGCCTTCCTGGATCATCTTGTTTAAAATTGCAACACATAGGGGCGCCTGGGTGGCTCAGTTGGTGAAGCGTCTGACTTTGGCTCAGGTTGTGATCTCAGGTGCTGGGATCGACCCCTGCATCGGGCTCCCTCCTCAGGGGGGAGTTTGCTTGTCCCTCTCCCTCTGCCTCCTGCTTGTGCTCTCTCTCAAATAAATAAATAAAATCTTCAAAAATAAAATAAAATAAAATTGCAATGCATATGCACTTCACAGCTTATTTTTCTCCATGGCTTACCTCCATATTTAGTGCTATATAACTTACTAATTGTAAAATCATCTTCCCAACCTAGCATGTAATTTCCTAGAGAATGAGGTTGTTGTTTATGCAGCACTTAGAATAGTGCTTGGCACACAGTGGATGCTCAATAAGCATGTGTTGAATGAATGAGCAGATGTGGAATAAGAGAGGCTCGTCTGCAGAAAGAGTGAAGACAATATGCAGAGAGGAGACAAGAGGGAGAGATTGCCCTGACCGCACCCTGTCCCTATCTGAGCTCTGGTTCTCTTCCTACCCCAGCTTCTGTCAGATGTACTTATGTCTGTTATAAAACCATCCCCATGCCCTCTGTTGAAGTTTGGAATAACCAGAGTTGCTTTTTGTTTCTTGCAATTAAAAGTCTCTCTTAGCTGAGATAGCACCCCGTTTCTTCTTCCAGAAATACCTTTTTATCCTTGTCTAAAAACTCAATCTCATTTTTTTTATTAAAGTCATCAGTCAAGCTGCCCCTGACTATCCCAGGCCATTGCATGTGTTCTGTGAAAGGGAGGTGTATGCAAAAGGACCTCCTATGTAAAGGAGTCATAAGACCAAAGAGAAAGGCTGACAAGTCTAGCTTGACAAGAAATGGCTTATTAGGGGGACAGAGTGTTTCTTTGGCTGCCACAATACAAGTAGACTTGCATGTGTCTCCTATTTCCTGGGCAGATCAAGGATGTTATACCCCGAGGGCATACTTAAGGAAAGAATGGGGGGACCAGTGCTCAAGAAGGTTCACGTCACAGAACAGTCATCATGGCAGATTTGTCCAAGATAGAATTAGTCTGGTTCATGAAACATGTAATTATTTACCAAAACTTTTGTCTTTTGGGTAGGGATCACACTTTTCCTTTTAGTCCCCAGAATCTAAGGTAGTGCCTGGCACATGGTGAACACTGGATACACGGCTACTGAATAAACAAAGGAGTGGGGAGATCTAGGTAACATGGCACAGTCTGAATTGGGAAAGAGTGAATTTGTCATGAGAATCTGCTCAGACGCAAGTATCGAAGTAGATAATACAACATTTAGATGGTGAAGACTATATGCAGACTATACATGTCTATGTGGAAAAAAGAAACAACATGAACACGAATCCCCCCAAATAAATTATATAGTTTTATATGACCAATTGTCAATGTAATGGCTTCCAAGGATACTACCAGGTAAGTTCTGCCAGAGGCCACTGAGCAGAGAGGCTCATAGACTGACCTAAAATGCTTGAATCACATGGTTTATTAAATCAATTTAAAAGATGAGGAGGAGAGAGGTGGTTCAAGATGGTGGCATAGGAAGACCCTGCACTCATTTTCTCCCATGGACACACTGAATCTACACCTACATATAGAGAATGACTTCTGAAGAACTAATGTTGATTGAATAGCCTCTGCACAACAAATAGAGGGACCACATAGAGAAGGGTGGAAGAGACAGAGACATGGTAACAGTGGGACCCACCACCAAAGTAACAACACGCAGCAGGGAGTAATATCACTGAGGAACCCACATGTGGATTTCCTCATCCCTGGGGCACAGCAAAAAACCCCAGCAGTTTGGGCACTTGGGTGGCTTAGTTGGTTAAGTGTCTGCCTTTGGCTCAAGTCATGATCCCAGGGTCCCAGGATCGAGCCCCACATCGGGCTCCCCACTCTCTCCCTCTTCCTCTGCCCTTCCCCTCTTCCCCGTGCCTGTACTCGCACTCTCTCCCACACACTTTCTCTCTCAAATAAATAAAATCTAAAAAAGAACCAGCAATTTAAAGGCAACTAAACTATTAAGTAAAGGAAATTCATTTATTAACCCTAGAGTGTCTACCAAATGGTGGGAGAACTACTAGAATTCCCTGGGGTTGGAGGTGCCAGTGAGAGCCATGGTTTACATTCCCCCTCCACCTGGATAGCACAGAAGGGAGCAGAGTCCAGGTGCTCTAGCCAGCCTGCTTGGGCTCTCCAGTGAGCCCTGGATTCCTAACACACCAACTCCAGCTGTCCACCAAGGTGGTCCCAGCACAGGGTGCTCTGGGACCCCACAGGCCTGCACCCAACTCAGCATTTCACCAGGAATGCCCTGATACCTCATGCACTGGGACTCTCCCAACCAGCACCTGCTCGAGCTCAGCCATCCCACCAGGGAGGTCGAGGCACAGAGCATCCCAGCATTCCCAACCCTTGCCAGATCCAGCTCCAGCCATCCACCACAGCAACCCCAGCACAAAACACTTTGGGATCCTCTGTTGCATACCCGTTCCAGGTCCAGCAATCCTGCCAGTGCAGTCTGCACTCACTATAGCCCCAGCTGTCCTGCCAGGGTAGCAGCAACACAGAGTGCCCCAGGATCCCCTGGCCTGCACCTGCTCCAGCCAAGCTACCAGGCACATGCAGCCTACAGAGGGGACACTGCCACACACAAAGCCACTCCTTCAAGACCAAGATAAGTAGCTGTTTTGCCTAATTCTAGAAACACAGAAAGTCAAACAAAATGAGGAGACAGAAGAAAACGTTCCAATAAAAGATGATAAAACCCCCAAAGGGGAAAACCCTCATGAAATAGATAATTTACCTAATAAAGAGTTCAAAGTAATGGTCATACAGATGCTCACTGAACTTGGGAGAAGAATGGAGGAACACAGTGAAAACGTCAACAAAGACAAAATATAGGAAAGAACCAAAGAGAAGTCACAGAAGTGAAGGTTACAATAACAGAACTGAAAAATACACTATAGGGAATCAACAGCAAATTAAAAGATGCAGATCAGCAATCCGGAAGACAGAATAATGGAAATCACCCAATCGGAACTGCAAAAAGAAAAGAATTTTTATAAATGAGAATAAGGGACCTCTGGGACAACATCACATGGACTAACATTCACATTATAGTGGTCCTAGAAAAAGGAGAGAAAGGGGTAGAAACTGATTTGAAGAAATAATGGTTGAAAATTTCCCTAACACTTGGGGAACTAACACCAAAGTAGAGGAATCTCAGAGAGTCCCAAACAAGATGAACCCAAAGAGATCCATGCCAGGATATATTATAATTAAAATGGCAAAATGCTAAAGAGAAAATCTTAAAAGCAACAAGAGAAAAAAAAAGAGTCACATACAAAGAAAACCTGTATGAGGCTGTCAGCTGCTTTTTCAGCAGAAACTTTGCAGGCCAGAAGAATGTGGCATGATATATTCAAAGTGTTAAAAGGAAAAAAAAAAACAAAAACCCTACAACCAAGAATACTCTATCCTGCAAGATTATCATTCAGAACTGAAGGAGAGATAAAGAGTTTCCCAGACAAGCAAAAGCTA